CAGGAAGTTCTTCCTAATGTTGAGGTGGAATTTCTTTTCCTGGAGCTTCCATCCATTGCTCCATTGTGTCCTTGCTCCCTCCTCAATATGACACCCCTTCAAATACTTAAACATGGCTTCATTTTCACCTCTTAACCATCTCTTCCTCAGGCTAAAGATACCCAGATGCCTACATCTCTCCTCCTAAAGCATGGTTTCCAGACCCTTCACCATTTTAGTTGCCATTTTGGACACGCTCCAGTTTCTCTACAGCCTTTTTGAATTGTGTTGCCCAGAACTGGATGCAGGATATTCAATTGCATAACTGGCTTAATCTTGTATAGTTTATACCTTATGACTTTTAGATTGTACGCCATTGGCAGGTTATATTGTTACCCAGAGTCCCCTTCATATCCAAAATATGAAAACCCCATATGCTACCCATAGTTCCTCTGCTATCAAAAATGAGAAATTCCATGATGACCTCCAGATGAACTCTGGCAGTGGAATTGGAGGCAAAGATCCTCTGCGCCCATGGCTTGGGCCACCACCCTTAATCCCCGCTGAATAGCCCCAGATAGTCTAGGAGAGTTGCTGATGGGATTTTCCCTGATCAAATCATTCAAACCATCGAAGGGTGCATTGTGTCACCCAGTCACAAGCACCCTCAGCCATCAAAGGTATAATGTCTGTATTGTGCTACCCAGTCTCACCCACCCACCCATCGGAAGGTGCTTTGTGCCACCTACTCACACATTCGCCCAGAATATGAGCCCCTCGGATTAAGACCACCAGAGACAATGTAATCCTACACAGCCGGGTGCCATCATCGCAATTATTGCCTTTCACCCCTGGGCACGTTTGGCTCTATATAAACCCCAGATTTTTGCCAGTCAGTGTGCTATCTTCCTGGTCTAAACGACTCCACATCACTCTGACCTTCGAAGCTAGTTACCAGCAAGTCTGCTCAAACTCAAGCTGCGGAGCAAGACTTGTCCCCCACCATCTCGCATCTCATTCGCTTCCCGGAGGACAACTACATTTCGGTAAGCATCACCCTCAGTAACGCCTGCTATCTATTCCAACCTCCAACCTTGATTTTCCTGAGCCTTGAGTGTGTGTGTGAGTGCATGTTATTGTGTGACTTTGCCTTATAATAAAACTATATTCAGTGGAAGCACCTGTCTCAGCTCCATTCCTGGGACTCCCTGGTCTTCTCGGTATACACATAGGGAAAATGGTCCTGCAGGGCACAGTAGCCTGCCGATCTCACAACATTGGGCTAATAATAAATTCCCCTTAAATTAGACCCTTGGCTACAATATGCTGTCCTGTAAAGTGGCATGCAAATTTATGGAGCTATATAATAATAATAATAATAATAATAATAATAGAAGATGCTGAGTTGTGCATGTAGTGTTGGTGCATATGCAGGTGTAAATGTAAAAGAATTTCACATTTGGTTGCATATTGAGTTGTGCGTTCAGTTGTGCGATGCTGTTGTTCAACACAAGGGACTTGTGATCAGTGCATAACACACACATGTGGAGATTTACGCTGCACAACCTCAGCGTAGGATCTCCTCCAGTGTGTTTGACCTGACATCCTCAGGATTTTGGAGGACAGACTAAAATGGCCTTTAGAAGTAAACAGTCCCAGCCAGAATTCCCTAATTGCAGAAATATGGACATTTATTTCCCCCTTTAGCTTTTGTGAACAAACAAAGAAAACCCCAGAGACCGCTGGATTTATCTTTTAGTGGGATTTCATCTATTAGCTGCTGGAAACTAATACTTGAAAAATACATCCATCTAAAGTTAGTCCATTAATCTTTAAGTCTCTCTCAAAACTGAACATTAAAATAAATATGGGACTTTTTCAGCATTCAGAAGTTCAGATGGAAGCTGTGAAAACATGTACAAAACTGCAGCTCCCAGATGGGAGAAAAACTCAAGAGTCTCCCGTCTGCCCAGGATGTCTAACCCAGAATCCCCTGGGGCATCATGCCTGTGTAACTTTTCAAACTGAGCTGGGCATTCTGGGTAAGCCCCACTGGGCCATTTTCGCCTCTTCTGGAGCCCCAGAAGGCAATGGGGTCTTGGAGAGGCTGCCGTTTTCACTTCTGCCACATCTGTCTGAATATTCTGGCTATTCTTTTTTCTTGCAGAAATAATCCGGTTTGAGGCTGCTTTAACTGCCCTGGCTCAGTGCTAGGGAACCCTGGGGATTGTAGTTAGCTCTGGCACCAGAGCTCTCTGATAGAGAAAGCTTCCCACTTCCCAGAATTCCCTAGCATTGAGAGGTGGTCTCAAAGGGGATTATTTCTGCAGTGTGTTTTGGACCTTTGTTGCTTTCAGGAGGAGAGCCAAACAAAACAGTGGCTGATATCCTGCACCAAGGAGGTGGAGTGTAGCATTACACTTATAGGATTACATGATTTAAAGAGATCTTGTAGCACCTTTGAGACTTACTGCAAGAAAGAAGTTGGCAATATAAACTTTTGTAGACTTAAGTCTCCTTCCTCAGATGCATCTGGATGATTTGGATGGCGAGATGATTGTGCATTAGTGAGCTGTAACACTGTCTGCAAACAAATGTGAAATGCACCATTGCAATGCGCAACGCACATCTGCATGTACCATGAGCCATTTGTATCTTCATGTGAAATGCCAAAGGGCACCATGGCCCAACGTCTCTGCAAGTGCAACTGGCCTTTCAGATCTTACCTGGAATCCTGTGTCTGTCTCTGGGAACCAAAGTCCAAGAAGGATGGAAGGATGGACCGGCTGAAAGGTTTCCAGAGGAGGAGGATGGCCAAAATGGTCAAAGGTTGAGAAACCAAGTCTTATGAGGAACAACCGAGAGAGCTTGACATATTTAGAAGAGAAGATTGATAGGTTACATGATAGCCATCCTTAAATATCTGACAGGATAGAGTGTGAGCTTCTTTTCTGCAGTTCCAGAGGCTAGATGTCAGAATCTGGGATTTTCTGTCATGGGTAAATCTGTTTGCTTGGTTATTATATTGGAATAGTCATAAAGAACCACATAGTTGTTGGAGTGGGAAAGGAAAGACGGGAAGCATAGTACTAATGACATGTAAGGGAGGGAGCAGCAATTCAAAGAATTTGCAGATGTTTTGGGGAAGAATATCTCCATAGTTGCTGGTGAGAAGCAGGTAATGGTGAGGAGACTGGTTCAGCGCTGTGAGATGGGTGGAATAAACTACTGTGAAGAGAGAGGGCTGCTATGTTTTGGTTGTTAAACAAAATAAAAGAAAGCCTGAAAAGTTTAGAAGTCCCAGTAGACCACAAGTTGAACACAAGCCAACAGTGTGATACGGCAGCTAAAAAAGGCAATGCGATTGTAGACTGCATCAATAGAAGTAGAGTGTCTAGACCCAGAAAAGTAATACTACTGCTCTATTCTGCTTTGGTCAGGCCTCATCTGGAATAATCCTGTGTCCAGTTCTGGGCAACACAATTCAAAAATTGACAAGCTGGAGTGTGTCCAGAGTATGGCAACTAAAATGGTGGAAGGTCTGAAAACTGTGCCTTATGAGCAGAGATCTAGGGAGCAGGGCATGTTTAGCCTGGAGAAGAGAAGGTTAAGAGGTGATATGATAGCCGTGTTTAAATATTTGAAGGGATGTCATATCGAGGAGGGAACAAGCTTGTTTTCTGCTGCTCCAGAGACTAGGACCCAAAACAATGGATGCAAGCTGCAGAAAAAGAGATTCCACCTCAACATTAGGAAGAACTTCCTGACAGTGAAAGCTGTTTGACAGTGGAACACAATTCTTCAATGGAGATTTTGGTGGAGTCTCCTTCCCCAAAGTATGACCTTTTCAACAGGACTGTGTTTTCTGGACTCCAAAATGCATTCATCTTTTTTTGCACTGAAAAGGGTTGGACTCTATGGAGCTTGGGGGTCTCTCTCAATTCTAGCATTCTAGGGAAAGAAAGGATGACTGTGTGCACAACTCAGGAAGAGGGTGTGTACACAAAGAAACAGGA